TGTCTCAAAAAAAAAAAAAAAAATTGTAGCCAGGTGTGATGACACATGCCTGTGGTCCCAGCTACTTGAGAGGCTGAAGTAGGGGGACTGCTTGAGACCAGGAAGTGAACGCTGCAGTGAGCCGTGACTGCACCACAGCACTCCAGCCTGGGTGAAAGAGTGAGACCCTGTCTCCAGAAAAAAGAAAAGAGTGGTAGAAGGTTATTCCAGTATCTCCTAACTTAGATAAGGGAGAATGCATCTTAGAAGGTTGCTATCAGGCATATGCAAACAACAGCCTGAACCAGAGCAACTACTACAGAACAAGAGGGGAAAATGTAGACCAAGAGACAACAACATCGAAGATGGGTTGATCTTAAAACCAAAGAAAAAAAGAACAGTCAATAAACAGGAGAGACAGTAGAGACAGGAATAATAAAGTGTAATTAGGAACCTTATTGGAGAAGGTGGGGATTTGAGGAAGAATTATTTCATTTTATTAGGGCTATAAATTTCAGAAGGCTGAATAGGCTTTTTTCCCTAACTCTTGCCTTTTTCATTCCTTGTGGCTTCTCAAAAACAAGAAAGCAATAACGTAAAAGGCAGAATGAATAAATCATAAGTAAAAACAGGTCACAGCCTGGCTAACGTGGTAAAACCCTGTCTCTACTAAAAATACAAAAATTAGCCGGGCTTGGTGGCAGGCACCTGTACTCCCAGCTACTCAGAAGGCTGAGGCACAAGAATCACTTGAACCCAGGAGGCAGAGGGTGCAGTGAGCCAAGAGAGTGCCACTGCACTCCAGCCTGGGCAACAGAGTGAGACTCTGTCTCAAAGAAAAAAAAAAAGAAAACCAGATCCTTTATAAACCTGACCCACAGATTTTGCTGTGGTTTAAATGTGTCTCCCAAAGTTCATGTGTAAGAAACTTAATTCCCAATGCAAGTGTTGAGAGATAGGACCTTCAACAGTGATTAGGTCATGAGGGCTCTACCATCATGAATGAATTAATGCTATTATCTAGGTTCCTGATAAACAGGTAAGTTCAGCCCCCTCCCTCACTCTCTCCCTTTCTCTCTGCCGGTGTCCTCTCCTGCAGAACTGTAAGAAATAAATCTCCATTCCTTATAAATTATCCATAATTTATAGAAGCACAAAATAAATTATAGAAGCACAAAATAAACTAAAGCAGATCTCAGAATATTTAATGAATATATGCTTAAAACAAAATGTATGCTTAAAATTTAAGAATTCAAATTACAAGAATAAGAATTCTACAGAACTTTAGCATTAGGTTGCACATCATTTATAAACAATCATTATGATAAGCAATTACAGTTACGTTAAATATGCTCCTGGAAGTTGAAAAAAGCAAACTCTTCTAGAAATGTGAAAAAGCAGAAACCTATTTCTATAACCAAATCATAAGCTTTCCATAAAATACAACCTATTTTAATAGTGTACAAAAACATACCTTTAAGGTTCCATCGGCTGAGCAACTAGCCAAAAGCTTATCATCTGGTGAAAATCTGCAGTGATTGACTGAATTTATATGGCCAAACAGGGTATTTCGACATGGTTTTTGATTCAAATCCCAGAGCTATTTGTGAAAGAAAAAAAAATAAACAACTAGTATTGAGTGGGGAAACATCAAAAATCATATGAAGTTCTTCCTTTTCTCTCACGTAAGCTTTTCGATTACAGAATGATGTTTAATTCACAGTAACACAAACTATCAAACACAGAAGTGTCAAACACAAAGATGAACTTGTGATTAACAAGCAATGGAGCAGCCTTTAAATCAGCATGTAAATCTACTAAGGGCCTCAAAGCCTCACCTAGGTTTTTAGGCTGAGTACTAAATAACTAACTAAACAATTATCACTTATTTTAATGGAGTGGTTTAGAATCATTATTATTTTACTCAGTTACAATAAGCCACAATAAGTAATATGTAATATAAATTATCCCCATATTTTTTAAACGTTAGGTTATCAAACCCTAAAAATGGCGGAGCAAGTCAAGTACCACCTCCGGGAAGCAATCAACCAAATCCAAAATATGGCACATTCCATGGGACAAATGACTAAATTGCTCTAATAAATCAATGGCAAAAGAAAGCAGGCAGAAAAGAAAAAGGGAGCTTTCATAGAATAAAAGAGACTTAAGAGGCAGAACAAATGCTACATGAAGTTTGCTTGGATACTGATTCCAATAAACATGACAGAAATGCATGTTTTGACCTATGGAATAAGTGAACATGGACCAGGTATACTACAAAACTGTATTTTACTATATTAGGTGTGATAATATTATGGTATGATAATAAACATAATATTCATATTTAAGATCTCAGATGCATGCTTAAGTATTTTGAGTGAAATGACATATTTCAGATTTGCTGTAAAATCCTCTATTCAGGCTGGGCATGGTGGCTCACTCCTGTAATCCCAGCACTTTGGGAGGTTGAGGTGGGTGGATCACCTGAGGTCAGGAGTTCAAGACCAGCCTGACCAACACAGTAAAACTCAATCTCTATTAAAAATACAAAAAATTAGCTGGGAGTGGTGATGCACACCTGTAATCCCAGCTACTCGGTAGGCTGAGGCATGACAATTGCTTGAGCCCAGGAGGCAGAGATTGCAATGAGCCAAGATTGCTCCACTGCACTCCAGTCTGGATGATAGAGGGAGACTCAATTTAAAAAAGGGGGAGAGTTTATAAAATAAGATTGACAAAATATTGATAATTGTTGGAACTAAATGACGGATACCACAGGGTTTTATATTGTTTTTGCCCTTTGGGTAGGTTTGGAATGTATAAAAAATGCAAATAAAAGGGATTATAGACATCTCTGGTGATTTATGCTAATAAGATTAAACCCAGAAGATGAAATCAATTATTCCCAAATGTTAATTTTAACAAAAATTATTTGGAAATGATCAGTAAGTGAGATACATCCTGTTCCTCATGAGCGCTTCTATTCTCAGCTCCTTTATCCCAGTCCTAGATAAACTTAATTCCTCAGATAAGGCAAATTACATGAAGGCAGCTCCAGAATTATTTTCACTGGCTTCTCTTTGCTCAAGAATCACAAGAAATGCATCTTAATAATCCTTATGGTAATAAAGGTAGTATGGCACATCTTAAAGTAAACCTTGTACTTCATTAAAACAGTTTACTAACCAATAACCCCCTCCCACATGGCAGAGGTTTTTTTCCTATATTTAAAAGGAGGAAATACAGACTTCCTCAACCCACAAAATGCCAAAAGCAACATCAAAAATTAGTCATAAATAGTACAACAGTCTTGCTTTTTTTTTTTTAGTGATATATTTATTCAAATAGGGCCAAGTTTTACTGTTTCTCTGTAATTTTGGTCCAATCCAGTGTTTTCAAATTGTGCTCTGCAGGGTGCTTTGGAGTCTATAAACACAAATATGCCTAAAGAGCATTATGTGGTAGGGAGAGGTTAGAGATGAAAGGGAATGAGAGAGAATGAGCAAGGAGGGGAAGAGAGGAGGTGGGAGGAAAGAAGGGAAGAGGAGGAGGAGAAGAGAGGGAGGAAGAGAAGAGAGGGAGGAGGAGAAGAGAGGGAGGAGGAGAAGAGAGGGAGGAGGAGAAGAGAGGGAGGAGGAAAAGAGAGGGAGGAGGAGAGAAAGAAAGTTTAAGAGGAAGGGAAATGGATAGAGAAGGAGAGAGAGGGAGGAGAGGGAAAGAAGGAAGAAGAGAGAGAAAGGAGAAATGTAGGTCCCATTCAGCCAGACCAACAAGCTTTAACTCTTATACACAATGAGGTTCTGTTTAATGTTTCTTCTTAAGAAAAATAAATAAAAATTCAGCTTCCTGAACCGGGAGACAGAGAAGGCAATTTTCAGTAACTGTTTCAGTACTTTCTAAAGAAAAATTTTGTAATAATTTATTTAAATGTCAAAACATAGAGTCTATAAGGTTTGAAATCAAACCAAAAAACAATTCAAAAGAAGTTAGCAGATTTTTCTGGGATCCCAGAAAGGGTAATCTAGCTATCTTCATCCACTTAAGAGGAAAAAAAGACACAATCAAACATTAGCAAGCATATGTGGAATGAATATTTTGGTTTTCATTGGTGTTATTTTTCCTACCAGCACGATTTCTCCCTCATCTCTGTGATAACAGAACCTCTGTTTTGAATTAAGCTCCACTTATGATTCAAATAGAGCTGACCTCACTTATTTGTCCCACTTCCATATAACTAAACTTGTGACCCTTGGACAATCCAAGGATTCCATCCTACTGTCCACTGGGGTTACCCTAGCTATGAGCATCCAAGCCAAACTGAGCCAAACAAAGTCTTCTCTAAAATTACATCTACAAGTTCTAGGAAAAAGCACACTTCTCTTATTCTGTGATTGTGAGCTGTAAGGTAGCCACATTTCCTGTTACAGAAAGAGCATGCCTGAACCAACATAGAAGAAGGCAAGAGTCTTGAGATGGAAAGACAGGTAGAGCCTGAGAACACAATTTAACCATTTGGAGTCAGCCATGCCTGACATCACACTCCCTCTAGACTTTTCAGTTACAAGAACCAATAAAGTATTTTTAAGCTGTTTTTTTTTTTTTTTTTTTTTTTTTTGCTTCAGCTAAGATATTACTGTAGTTTCTATCACTGCCACCAAAAAGTCCTAATAGTAAGATACGTAAGAAAATTGAAGGAGATACTCTAATGTACCTATCAAATTTATCTACATAACTCTCAATATCCACACTTACTTTGAGGACGCAGTCACTTGACCCAGTGGCTAAGAGAAAATGATGACTACTGTTGGTGAAATGGCAGCAATTGACTTGCTCTGAGTGCTCATCATAGTTATGTACTAGTTCCCCGGTCATAGAATTCCAAATCTAAAGAGAATAGAGAAAAAAATTGCAAATATCCATTATTTTCAAAGGGAGAACAGAGGGGCAAAGCAAATGAACATTCAAATGCTATCTTATCCTGTCATAGCAGATTTTCCTAGTTGGACAAGATGCTAATGAAAACTCCACCCTTCCTAAAATATGACAATATTTTGCCTCAAATGTTTAAAAAAATTATTTGCAAATATACATATATGTATCTATAGCATAACTGGCGTATCATGAGCACATGACATTTTCTTAAGGGCAAGATTTCACATGTTTATATGAATGGCAACAGGCAGAGAAGTGCTTTAAAAAGGTCAGCATAATAGACATCTGATCAGAAAGGTTGAGCCCAAGAGCTGGCTCTACCACTTATGATTTGTGTCACAAATCCCTAACTTACCTGCATCTCAGTTTCCTCTTCAGTATAATGGGGATATTTATACCTCTTCTATACAATTTAAGGTATCAAATGATATAATAAACATGACAAGTGTTCTATATACTTCAAGGTACCATATAAATAAGTAAAGGCAGATTGCTTAGTGAAAAAAAATAAAGGCTTTATAGTCTGAGAGAAACCTAGCTTTCAACCCCGTTACTATTCCCAGTTAATATATAAGCTTGTGTAAGAGACTTCATCACTGCATCTATGTCCTCTTCTGTAAATGGGATCAGCACTTACCTTGCAAGCTATAGCAGGAAATTGATAATGTAATATAAGAAAGTGTGCAGTATAAAGCCTCTTACAGTATTCAGTTTTCAGTAAAAAGTAATCATTATTCTAGTTACTATGTAAGACAACTAAGCAGTCTATGCCATATAACAACAAACAAAAGAATTAAATTACCTAATGAACCTTCACTAGGATTTTGATTTCTTAGAGGTAATAATGTCCTTTGGCATTTCCTTTGCATCTTATCAAAACACTGATTAGACTCCCCAGAGGTCCAGAGAGTTTATCTTATTTTAAAGTTCCTTAATGGGTATTTCTGCCTCTAGCTTAGAAAATAGAATCTCATTATTATTTCCTTTTACTCCATGTAGCTCTGACTTTGGAACTGCCCTCAGTGGCCACCTCCAAGTCTGACTTAGAGTCAGAGTAGAGGCTACAGAGTGAATTAACTGTTGGTTATAAAGCCACAAGTCCAGTCTAACAAGAGGTAGAATTTTCTAAGGTCTCAAATTTAGTCTGGACATTCTACAGCCCTCTTAAAGAAAACCAGGAAAACATCCAAGGCAAATTTCTTGCCCACTCCACCTAGCCAGATCCAGTACTCCAGATTTAAACCCCTTTGAAAGAGGCTTAAAGTAAGGTCTCTCTTCCATATATCAGTGATAACCCACCCCCCCACAAGCCTTCAGTTTCTCTTAAATTCTGTATTAGTATAAATGCTACTGCTAAAAGCCAAATTTAGGAACAAGAGAACAATTAACAAAGATAAAAATTATTCTCAGGGGTCGGCGGGGGCACGGTGGCTGATGCCTGTCATCCCAGCACTTTGGGAGTCAAAGGCAGGTGGATTAGTTGAGGCCAGAAGTTCAATACCAGCCTGGCTAACATGGCAAAACTCTGTCTCTACCAAAACTACAAAAATTAGCCAGGTATGGTGTTGCAAACCTGTGATCTCAGCTACTCGAGAGGCTGAGGCATAAGAATCAACAATCCTGAAGGGAGAGATGTCAGAGAGCCAAGCCTGCACCACTGCACTCCAGTCAGGGTGTCAGAGCCAGACTCTGCCTCAAAATAAATAGTAAAAATTACTCTGATTATTTTTTTCTATTTATATTTTAGACCAATAACATAATTATTAGTTTGTTCATCCATCTGGTTTTATACTGAATACATAAGCCAGCTGATAAAGGTAAATTTTTTTAAAAATTGGCTTTGCATTTTAAAATTGTATCTTACAACAGGAATCCCTAAGTTTGTGCAGCAACACTCCTAATCGCAATACCACAACATACTCAAAGATTTCAATGGATATTTAACCCATGGACTCATCTATCAATGGCGGACAAACCCATTAATTTGTCATTGCTTTTCCTCACTGCCTGTTTACTTCTCAAGTTGATCAACTAGGCATTTTTGCTGGTGTTTAAAAATAAAGAATTTTCAGGCCAGGCACAGCGGTTCACATATAATCCCAACACTTCCAAAGGCTGTGGCAGGAAATCACTCGACCCCAGGAATTGGAGCTTACAGTGAGCTATGATCATGCCACTGCCCTCCGGCATGGGCAAAAGAGCAAAACCCTGCCCCTTTAAAAAAAAAATAAGGAATTTTCAGATAGTGTTAATTTACAATGGATGAAGTTAGTAGATCAACAGGCAAGAGTCCTTTAACCCTACTTACTCTGGTCTCATGATCATGGAAAAATAAAATGAATTCTGTTATGATTACAAATCAAGAGGAAAATATTTTCCTACCTTCACTTTTTTATCCACTGAGCAGGTTGCTATAAATCTGTCATCTGTAGAGAATGCACAACAAAGCACTTCATCTTCATGAGCCTTGATTTCTAGAAGTTTCTCTCCCGTCTCAGCTTTGAACACCTGCACAAGTAACAATAAAATCTTTTTATAATAAACCACTTAACTATAGGTCATCATTCAATAAAAATCTTCAAAATCAAAAGATAGACCACAAACATAAAGAAAACTCATTCATGCTTTCTGAAAACAAAAAGAATCTTAAAAGAAATTATTTAAAATAACTTAGGAATTAGTCTAGTCCAGTTCCTATTTACAAGAAAGAAACCTATGTGTAAGATTTTCATAAAATAGGTATTTTCTTAATCACTGTTTTTTAGTCACAGCTCTACTACCTGCACTATGAAGCCCTACGTCTTCTAACAATTATTTCCTCACTACCCTTAGCTAACAAATGGATGGCTGGGAACTGACTGGCAGAGTAAAGGGCACTTCCTTGCCACCTGTAAGTTTAGAATTAGAAAAACATGTAATTGTATCTTTTAAATCTCTAGAGAAACCTTTACTAAAATGTTCCAGAGAGTTGGATTTCTCTGTTATTTCTCAGTTGCAATTTTCTTCAATTTTAGAATTTAAGCATATTCAAATCTGCACAGAACTGGATACATGCCTCTTTAAATTTTTCTCAAGAGATATGTTTTACCTGTAAGGTTTTATCGGCTCCACAAGAAGCTATTCTCTGACCATCCTCAGAAAAGCAAGCATGGTAAACAGCATCTGTGTGGGGGCGGACAACTAAGCGGGAAAGATTCATGATGGTTTTTTTGTTTCTAAACACAGGGAAAAAATGAAGAGAAATTCAATAAATGAGAGTAAAAGTAACTATTTTCCTTCGATAATAAAATAAACAGTCTTAAAACATGGTTATGTTCCCCAAAATATAAAATTCTTAAAATCAAATTACTAACATACAAATGACAGCATAGATCACCTAAAGAAAAAAAATAACAAAAGTAGCATTTGTAAGAGAAACATTACACTTTATTAAGCAAACTGTCATGTGTCACAAATGTCACTGAGTTGGAAGAAATCTAATTAATAAAATTATTCAAATCTAGTTAATCAACATACCACTTTCTATTTTCCTGTGATACATTAATAATGATACATGAGCAGATAAATCGTTATGTAAGGATACCTTCAAAAAATCTCCATCTCTTTTTTAAGATAAAAATCATAGCAAAATGCTCATTTTCTAACTGAAGTATGATACTAAGCCATCATTATAATGATGTACTTTAAAACTGCTCTTCTTAACCAGGCACGGTGGCTCACTCCTGGAATCATAGCACTTTGGGAAGGTGAAGCGGGTGGATCACCTGAGGTCAGGAGTTCAAGACCAGCCTGGCCAACATGGTGAAACCTCATCTCTACTAAAAATAAAAAATAGCTGCGCACGGTGGCATATGCCACTAATCCCAGCTACTCGGGAGGCTGAGGCAGGAGAATCACTTGAACCTGGGAGATAGAGGTTGCAGTGAGCTGAGTTCAAGCCACTGTACTCCAACCTTGGGGACAGAGCAAGACTCCATCTCAAAAACAAACAAACAAACAAAAAACACTGCTTTTCTCAAACTGCAATTATTCAGACATACCAAAAAAGATAAAACAATGTCATATTCTTTGTATCTTAATCTAGTCAGAGAGAGATAGAAAGAGGGAGAGAGAAAGACCTCCACTTCACAAGGCAGTGTTAAAGAATGGTCAGCTCTGGAAAGTGGGAAGGTAAGACAGAAATGTCTAGTCTTTGACTTTTGGTCTCACATCCTATTAATATTGCCTTTTGTCTTAATGAGGAAGACATATTATTTAAAATAAAACCGGTTGGGGTATAGTGGCTCACTCCTGTAATCCAAGCACTTTGGGAGGCAAAAGAAGGAGAATCAATTGCATCCAGGAATTTGAGATCAGCCTGGGCAACATAGTGAGACCTTATCTCTAACAAAAAAAAAAAAAAAAGAAATTAGCCAGGCATGGTAGTGTGCGCCTGTAACCTCAGCTACTCAAGAGGTTGAAGCAGGAGGAATGCTTGAGCCCAAGAGGTCAAGGCTACAAGGAACAGTGATTATACCACTGCACTCAGCCTTAGTAACAAAGTGAGAGCCTATCTCAAAAATAAATAAATAAACAAAAATTAAACTTATATCTTAACTAAAAAAAGTTTTTTTTAATTCCCTCAGATACCACCTCCTTCGTGGAACCCTCCCTTGAATTCCTCATTTTTATAAGTCAACTACTTACTCTTTCTCTCTCTACTTATACATAGTTCTGTTGTTACACTCATCACATTACCTTGTAATTATTTGCTTAAACTCCTTTCTTCACTACTAGATTTTGAACTCCTTGGGGGAAAAACTTCACATCTAGTAACAGTGCTTAACACAGTACAGAAACTCAGATGCCAATGCTTAGCACATTAGAGAAACCCAAATGCTTCTTGAACTACACTGAATCAAGAACATCACCTACAGTAGTCTGACTTATTTGGAAAGAGGGCCTAATGCCACAAAGATCACAGGCACCAACCTGGACTTCAGTTTAGATATAAATTATACATACAAAAAGAGAACCATTCATATTTATTATTTCAAGCTATAAGGGAAGCATGGCATATGGAAAGAGCATGCAAAATAAAGCCAGACAGACCCAAGGTGAGTTTTTTTTTTCTTTTTGAGACGACTCAAAAAGAGTCATCTTTCTTTTTGGGCAACACACTCTGTTGCCCAGGCTGGAGTACAGTGGTGCAATCTCGGCTCAGTGCAGCCTCTGCCTCCCAGGTTCAAACAATTCCCCTGTCTTACCCTCCCGAGTAGCTGGGATTATAGGCATGCACCACCACATCCACCTAATTTTTGTATTTTTAGTAGAGATGGGGTTTCACCATGTTGGCCACACTGGTCTTGAACTCCTGACCTAAGGGGATCCACTCACCTCGGCCTCCCAAAGTGCTGGAATTCAGGCGTGAGCCACCACGCCTGGCCACAAGACCCAAGGTTTAAATCCCATTCAGCAAGTCACATGAACTAAGCCAAGTCCAAATCTGTGTCTCAATTTTCTCATTTGTATAATAGGGCAAGTAACATTTACCTTATAAAGTTGTTTTGAAGATTAAAGAGAATAACGCAATTATGTAGCATATAACAGGCAATAAAAAGATGGTATTAATAGTTATCCTTTCCTTTCTATAAGCTGACAAGATTAAGGTAAGAGCAAAAGGGCCTCCTTCGAGAGACAGAATAACCAGGGTTCAGTGGTCACTTAATAAGGACTATATGTACAAAGTGCAAATTACTTTACAGCCATTATCTCATTTAAATCTTCACTGACGTCCAGGCATGGTCGCTTATGCCTGTCATCCCAGCACTTTGGGAGATCATGCAGATCACTTGAGGTCAGGAGTTTGAGACCAGCCCGGCCAACATAACGAAACCCCATGTCTACTAAAAATACAAAAACTAGACAGGTGTGGTGCTGGGCACCTATAATCCCAGTTACTTGGGAGGCTGAGGCAGGAAAATTGCCTGAATCCAGGAGGCAGAGGTTGCAGTGAGCCAAGATCACACCAATACACTCCAGCCTGGGCGACAGAGTGAGACTCTGTCTCAAAAATAAATAAATGGGCCAGGCACAGTGGCTCACAACTGTAATCCCAGCACTTTGGGAAGCCGAGGCGGGCAGATCACAAGGTCAGGAGATCAAGACCATCCTGGGTAACACGATGAAACCCCGTCTCTATTTTTGAAATAAATCAATGAATGAATGAATCATCACAGAAATAGCACTTATTTCAAAAGATTGTTATCTCCATTTTACATGAGAGAATAACCTGTAACTTGTTCAAAGTCACAAAATTATTAGGTTTTAGAACTGAGGCTCAAACCCAGGTCTGTGGCTCCAAAGTCCATGTTCCTCACCACTAAAACTTCTGTAAGTCAAGCACTTGGTATTGATACTTAGGATTACTTGTCAAAATGCCTTATAGGCATCTATTTATATGGACTCTTTAAAAATACAATGGTTTTCTCCTATGCTTACTTCTCTAGAACTTTTCAATAAGTAAGAATGCTTATTAAAAGTTCCAGCCCTTTTGAAAGTAGTTAAATCTTCCTGGAGTGAACGTATTCACCACCTGAAAAATAATGACATAGTTAACACACCGCTCCCGTTGGTTTCTCTCCTAACCTACTTACGTCCATTCCAGGTAAAGCGTTCCATTATCGACCTCCTGCTTGGCCTGCAGCTTAGCTTGCTGATAAACTTCTGAAGTTTCTGGCTCACAGAGACCCAGTTGTACAATATTAGGAAATGGCTGTCGTCCAAGGAGGTGTCCATTTAAAGATAAAAACTCCTGAAAATTCTCACTGACTGCACAATCCTACAAATAAACTGAAATCTCTTAGAAACACAATCAGAGCCACGATCTGACATTTTTCTGCTTCTGTGATCTTGCCACTTTAAAAGCTTAAATGAAATATTCTTTATATGAACTAAAATTGAACAGCCAACCATTAGGTAACAAATATACAGTGATCCTCTTCTAACTTTTAAACATAGGGTAAAAATCTCATTATCAAACACATTTCTTAATATATTCTTTTTAAAAAAAAAACTACTGAACATCTTACTTTCCTAGCTTTTAAACCTCAGTCCTACCTACTTTCCCAGTAGGGTGGGAGGCAAATTAATTAGAATAACTAAAGATCAAAGTAGGGAAATTCTCTTCACCCCTTCTATGCTCTTCAACCCTTCTATTCTGCTCATCCCCATCATTAAATCAAGAATTAAATGTCAAAAGAAAAAATGAGATTCCTTTAAGCACAAATTCTTCATATTAATATATACCTTTTCATCTAGTATATGTCTGTATTCCACAAATTCATGAATCAGATGAGCAGGGCCTACAAGTTCTGTTTTTGCTTTAATCCAGTCCAGGGAAAACATTAAAGCACAAAGTTCCTTTTAGAAAAAAGTAAGATCAGCAGCACTGTTAGAGATCAAAAAATTTTAGGTATAACATCATTATCCTAACACTACCAAGAGAAACCTAGTAGATATCTAGAATTTAAAAGATGCAAAGGAAGCCAGTGAAAAAGAACACATAAATAGTTCCAAAGAAACATAAAATGAGCCTCATACTTTAGCTCCAAATAAATTTCAGTTGGATTAAAAATTTAAATAGAAAATAGAAAACCTTTAAAAATATAGAGAATAAAAATTAATATTTTTGTAAGCTTGTAGTGAAGGATATCTTTGTAAACATGACCCCAAAGCAAAATACCAAAAAAAAAAAAAAAGAAAAAGTGCAGTTAACTACATAAAAAAGTATATTTAATGGCCAGGTGCGGTGGCTCACACCTGTAATCCAAGCACTTTGGAGGCCAAGGCGAGTGGATCACCTGAGGCCGGGAGTTCAAGACCAGCCTGACCAACACGGTGAAATCCCATCTTAATAAAAAAAAAAAAAAAGTGTATTTAACTACATAAAAATTCACATCTTCGATAGAGCAGAGAGCAATATAAATTAAACTCAAGACCAAAAAAGTTTATTTTATTTATTTATTTATTTTTTAGACGAGTCTCGCTCTGTCACCCAGGCTGGAGTGCAGTGGTGCAATCTTGGTTCACTGCAACTTCCACCTCCTCGATTCAAGCTATTCTCCTGCTTCACCCTCCATAGTAGCTGGGACTACGGTAATGCGCCACCATGTCTGGCTAATTTTTTGTATTTTTTAGTAGAGATGAGGTTTCACAGTGATAGCCAGGATGGTCTCGATCTCCTGACCTTGTGATCCACCAGCCTCGGCCTCCCAAAGTGCTGGGATTACAGGCTTGTAAACGTATTTTGCTAAACAAAAAAAAATAAACTACAACAATTTACCATGCATTATAACCAAGAAATAACATACCTGAGCATGGAAAAATTACTGAAAGTACATACGGTTTTCCAAATATAAACATTCTGAATAGCTCCTTGGTAGTCATGACTTCAATCAAATATCATCTATGTGCTAACAATTCCCTATTTTCATCTTTCATCCATAATTCTCCCCAGAATTCCAGATTCATATACCTACCTGCCTATTCAATAGTTCCAGCCAGATGTCTCAATAGGTATATCAGACTTACTATATTCAAAATGAGTTCTTAATCATCTCCATTCTCTGCAGGAAAAAATCTTGTTCTCCTACAGACCTCTATTTCAGTTCATGGCAACTCCATTCTTTCCATTGGAGTTGGAGTCATCTTTGATTCTTCTCTTTATCTTATAATGCACATAAAATCCATCAGCAAATCATGATGATTCTACCCCTCTATCTTCACTTTCTTTCCCCTTCAATGCTCTGTCCTTCTTCTGAGCACTTAACTACCCACTAAAATATGATAAATTTGTTTAATATCTGCCTCCTCCCAGAACATAAACTCAATGAGAGCAGAGACTTTGTGCCTGTGCTTTATCCTCTTAAAGAAGAGCAGCAGACATAACAGGCACTCAATAAATATTTAATGAATCAATGAATATACCTTTCCACTACCCATTTCCTCTCAAAGCTTATAAAACAAATCCATAGTGCCCAAAAAGGAAAGCTGCTAGTATGAAGAGGGTTAATTCTGGGGTGGTTCATTTACTAGTTACTAAGGTACCTTTACTAATCACTACAGGTAAAAACAAAAATAATTATATAGGCTATAAACCTATTTTTACTACAGGCGCGGTGGCTCATGCCTGCAATCCCAGCACTTTGGGAGGCCGAGGCGGGTAGATCACAAGGTCAAGAGATCGAGACCATCCAGGTCAACATGGTGAAACCCCATCTCTACTAAAGATATAAAAAATTAGCTGGGCATGGTGGTGCATGCCTGTAATCCCAGCTACTCAGGAGGCTGAGGCAGGAGAATTGCCTGAACCCAGGAGGCGGAGGTTGCGGTGAGCCGAGATCGCGCCATTGCACTCCAGCCCATGTAACAAGAGTGAAACTCCATCTCCAAAAAAGAGAATAATAATAATAATCCTATTTTTACTAATAAAGAAAATTATACTAATAGGATAAAACATGTTTATGAACAGGACAGCAAAGCAAAATACCAAACAACGACGACAACCAAAGTGGTAAATCTAACTACATAAAAATTCAAATCTTTAGTTGGCCACGGTGGCTCATGCCTATAATCCTAACACTTTGGGAGGCTGAGACGAGTGGATCACTTGAGCTCAGGTCAAACTCAGGAGTTCAAGACCATCCTGGGCAACATGGTGAAACCCCATCTCCACCAAAAATACAAAAATATTAGCCAGGCATGGTGGTGTGTGCCTGGTAGTCCCAGCTACATGGGGGACTGAGGTGGGAAGATCGCTTGAGTCCAGGAGGTTGAGGTTGTAGTGACTGAGATTTGTGCCACTGCACTCCAGCCTGAGTGACAAAGTGAGACCCTGTCTCAAAAAAAGAAAACTGAATCTTCAATACAATGGAAAGCAATATAAGCAAAATTCAAGACAAAAAATAAACCAGAAAACAGCACTTGTTTGCAATATTTATGGAAAAAAGTAAAGTCAGATAAAAGAATTTTTAAATGGGTCATCTTACCTTGTGCATCTTGGCACTGGCCATGTGGTAGGCCAGAAAGTTATACCAATACATACAGTCTTCCTGATCTGGTAAAAGACTTGGCAGCTGGTAATATCTCTGAAACTGAGTGATTATCTTCTTATGTAGATCCTGCAACCCAAATGAAACATTTCAGAAGCCAGAAACAATTTTATAACCTAAGCATCACAGTAACTTCAGCTTCCAAAGCTATTAAGAATGTACAAAAGCCAGGCTCAGTGGCTCACGCCTGAGGATCCCTTGAGGTCAGGACTTCAAGACCAGCCTGGGAAACAGGAAAATACCCCTATGTTTTATTTTTGACGAAAAAAAAAATCAATCAGGTATGGTGGCATGTACCTACGGACCCAGCTACTTGGGAAGTAGCTACTCAGGACCATTTGGGCCCAGGAGTGCATGCCAGCCTGGGCAACAGAGTAAGATCCTGTCTCAAAAAAAAAAAAAGAATATACAGAGAATCTCCCCACAAGATAATGACTTTACAGTGGAGAAACCTGGCAGATACCACTTTAACCAAATTATCAACATTAACATCACCCATAATAAAACATGTCAACACCAAGAGGCTGAGCATAGTGGCTCATACCTATAATCCAGCACTTTGGGAGGCCAAGGCAGGTGGATCACGTGGGGTCAGGAGTTCAAGACCAGCCTGGGCAACATGGCAAAACCCTACCTCTACAAAAAAATTTTTTAAAACCACCAAGTACTCTCAGGATATGATGCCATGGAGAAAGATACAACATCATTTCCGTGGTATTCTTGTCAAATACGTATAACTTCTATCCAGTCAGGAGAAAACATCAGACAAAACCAAATTTGGGTATACTGTACAAAATTACTAGCCAGTACTCTTCAAAAGTGACAAGGCCATGAAAGACAAAGACTGACGAATTTTCACAGATTTGAGGAGACCAAAAAAAATGATAAGTAGGGAAACAAGACAACATATGCAATATGGGATCCTAAATTAGCCTGGACCACAAAAAGGGGGTGTAGATTAGTGAACAGTGTTGTATTAATGTTAGTTTTCTGGCTTTAACAATTGTACTATGGTTACATAAAATGTTAACATCAGGGGAAGCTAGATGAAGGACTTATGCATAGAAACTACTATTTTGTAACATTTCAATAAATCTAAAATTATTTCAAAGTAAAAAAACTTTTTAAAAGTGAACTAAGATGCAAGTACCTGAAGCTGGCTGCAATTCTTCTCTGTAAGAAAATCTACTTGAAGATCATGTAAATAATAACGAAACGACTTTCCATTCCGATCACAGAATAAAAGAGATTTATTTACAAACTCCTGCAGTATGTCTTCAACTTCTTCAGTTTCCATGTCCCAGAGAATGCATAACACCTAGGAATCATTGTAAGTATTTAATATGCCACAAAAGTTCAATGACCAGGACTACAGACAGGTGTTAACACACATACAAAAAAAACTGCATCTTAAGGCCCTGAGTAAGAATGTCTCCATTTCCTAAGAAGAAATCCAACTACTCCTCAAGATAAAAAGAGAAAAAAAAGTTAGATGCTTCTTCAGCTTCACTAGAACCACAGAAATAGGTTAACTCCTGAGTTCAACAAGGGGCCCTTAATGGAGGCTAACAGCAGAGGGACTTCTATATCCAACACCCTACCATCTCAGTCCCCTGGGTCTTATCCTTCCAAAGTCCTCTGTAACAACATGCTTAGTACTATATCAAAGCTTATATGCAATAAATACCCAATGATGAGGATCGTTGATTCCATTACCTTTGTAGGCACCTTAACATCCTTCGGAAGGATGGAAAGATCTGTGTAATAATTTTTGATGTCTTCTCTGAGCATTTCAACACTTATAGACATGGCTTCATCTAGAGCCTCATAATCATAAGATGAAGATTTCCTTATTCTCTTAAACTGTTTATTCTGAAGTTGTCTGAGGTAGTACTCCCAGCGATTGGGAAAATCACGTAAAAGTGCACCAATTAAAGATACTACAAGGGGAGAGCCTAAAAAGAAAAAAAAATGAAGTCATTGTGCTAATACCATCCTATTTTGTCACTACTAAGAATCAACTTATTCTTAAGAAACAATTTCTGCCGGGCGCGGTGGCTCAAGCCTGTAATCCCAGCACTTTGGGAGGCCGAGGCGGGTGGATCACGAGGTCAAGAGATCGAGACCATCCTGGTCAACACGGTGAA